CGCCTTAGCCACCTGAGCCACAGGCGCCGAGCCTCTTGCCTGGGATTTTTAAATATGTCACCAACACCAGCCCTTGTGCCCACCTTCCTCCTTCACCTGCCCCACATGGCTGCAGCCTCCTCCAGGAAGCAACCACATCTCTCCTCCTCCAGGCAAAAGGTTGATAGGTCCCTCTCCAAGGGTCCCTCCTACATAAGTTAGAGGGCCCACTGAAGTCCTAGGTACCCACCAGTAAGGCCAGGCCAGTGGGGACCCAGATTCAGAGCCAGACACACTAGCCAACAGCTCTTGAGGGTGAGCACGTGCTGGCACTTTACACATAGGTGTCTGTCATAAAGGCCACAGGTGCTAGACAGACCTGGTCCAAATCCCACTGCTACCCTTTAACAGCCATGTGACTCTAGGCTTTAAATTTCTCATAACATGGAGTAGAGACAAACCCACATATGGAAGGAACTACAAGAAATGATACATGGGTCAAGGGTGAGGGCTCCACCGACCACAGCTCTTCTGTGAGATCTGAAGAAGGAGGGTGAGAGAGGCCAGGAGGCCCATCCAGGGATATACCAGCAAGAGGTCACACCAACTGCCCAAGTTGCATTCTTTCTGCTTCATCCACTGCTGCCACAAATCTAGGAGCCCTACCATGTACTTGCATGGCCCCATGGTCCAGGAGCAGCTGCATGCAGTTTGCACACTGCCAGTGAGCCCAAGCCAGCAGTTCCTGTGGCTCCATCTTGTTCCCACCTCCCAGCCTAGCTGTTCCTTCATCCACCCAGATACTCAAGGGTCATCCCACTGGGGGCAGGCCTTGTGCTGGAGGGCATACTGATGGCTAAACACAAGTCTGACCCATGTTTCATCAACATTTAAGGAGGCAGGCAGGCAGGCAGAGAGTTGGTGTCCCACAAATTTCCTTTCCCTCTCTCTGAAGCACTTTTCCGCGAGTGTTTAAAGACCATGATCTTTTCCATTCAGTCTTGGAAATATCTTGACACCTAGCCACAGTGGAAATTACTTCACAGGAACCTCTCAGGTTGGGGCACCTAATCCTGGGCCCCTCTTTCCTCGCCAGTCATCTCCTCAGCTAGGCTGCCCACATCCCTACTCTCCCTCCAAGGGAGGGCCTGGCTTCCTGGAGAGATTGTTGCTATAGGATGCCAGGAACTCTGGGATACAGGGACCAAGGTTTTTGTGGAGAAACTCGAATGCCCACAGTAGGTCAAGTGGCATTTATGTCAGAAAGGCAGTGCCTGCCACACAGGCCCTCAGGGAAGGGGCCTGGGAAGGATGGGGCCAAAGGGAAGAAAAAGGAAGGCCACAAGTCCGGGGAAGGGTAGGGGGCAGGCAGCCCACAGATAGGGGGCCTGTGTCCCTCGAGAGGGGCCTGAGGGGTGATGAAAAAGGTATGTAGACAGTCCAGGCAGCATGGCGCTCCTATACAAGTGAGGCAGCAAAGCAGGGTGCAATCTCAACCTGTTCCCTGTTAGCAGCTGGGACCCAGCAGCACTCACCCTTGGACCCACCCTGGCTATTCAAGACAACTGTGCCTGGACAGCCTGACCCAATAGGAATTAAGAGCTTAAGCCCAGCCTTCTCACCCTTTCCTGCTTCCTGACTGAATACCAAAGTCCGATCTCCACACCCAAACACAAGTAATCTCTCAGGCTGGGGCACCTAATCCTGGGCCCCTCTTTCCTGGCCAGTCATCTTCCTCAGCTAGGCTGCCCACATCCCTACTCTCCCTCTGAGGGAGCATCTGGCTCTCTACTGGACCTAGATCTGCTCCCACCTGTCCTGTGCCTCAAGTTCTCCAAAAGCCTGCTTGTCAGCACCATAAAATCCCCACCTGACACCCCCTGAACCCGCTCTGGCTTCATTGACTTCATCTCTCAACTCCACCACTTTGCTATACTCGCTGGGGTACATCAAGGCCTTTCTCATTCCCAGCCTTTGTATATCTTGCTCCCACTACTTGGAGTGAATCCCCATCGTCCCAGGACTGGCTGCTTCTCCATCAGGTCTGTGGCTAACAGTAGCGCTGCCCCACCCCTGCTTTCTCAGCCCCCTGTTTCTTTCTTTCATAGCACACTTCTCACTCTCCTTCGGAATTTTGTCTGGCCATTGTTAGGCCATTTCTCTAGACCATGGGGGTAAGGATGCCCCCCAGGAGACGTTTGCCAATGTCTGGAGACATTTTTGTTGTCACAACTGCAGGGGGTGTGTGTTTACTATCAAGTGGGGATAAACCAACGATGGTGCTCAATATCCTGCAACACACGGGACAGCCCCTCGCAGCAAAGAATGATCCGGCCGGGAACTGTCAATAGAGCCGAGGTTCAAGAACCTTGCACCAAAAGATGAGCTTAGGAGAACTGGGATCGTGTTCCCGCAGTCTCCCGGCATCTAGAACAGTGCCTGGCACTCAGAAAGATGGAATGAAAAGTGAGAGAAAGAAGGCATGGAGCGAGTGACAGAGGAGCTGACAGGCAAGACAGACTGACCGACCCAGAGACCCCGGACCGACCCGGCCCCGCCCCCCCTCGACCAGACCGCCACCCGCCGGGCCCCAGAGCGCCTGCCCCGCCCCTCTCTCGCGTGGACTCGAGGCGCGAGTCCCGGGCCAGGCGCGCCACGCGGACACTCACCCGCCCGTGGCCGCCCCGGAGCGGCGGCTTCACCCTCCCGCTTCATGGTGCCCCTCGGCCGCCAGCTGGGAAAGGGACGAGACGCGCGAGCCGGAAGCGCTCAGTGGCTGCGCCCGCCGGTACTTGTAGTTCTCCTGCTCACGGGGCCCGGGCGTCTGCCTCACTCGCGAAGCTTCAGAAACTACGACTTCCGGCGGTCCAGTCGCTGCGGGGCGGGATTGGCCGTTTCAGAATCACTCTATGTTGCACTGCGGAGTCTGATTGGCTGTGTGTATCCGTCGCTCACAAGTTAGGCTCAAGGGACTCTACAAAAGGGAGAAACTCTGGGTTTAGACCTGAGAAACCGCCTCCAAAAGAAATGCCACGGCACGATTGGTGAAAATAACGCTGTAGAGACCGGAGCGTATCAGCTGCAAGGGAAGGCGGGCACTTCAACTAAGAGTGCCCAATCACAGAGGTGAGTTGTTTCTATAAAAGGTTGAGCCTCGCCTTCCTCCATCCTTTCGCGGTGTGGGCGAGTGGGTTCAGTTTGATTTGTACTGGTTTGTTACAATTCCAGGAACAGCTGGCTTTTGTGTGGAACTCTGGCGGTAGCCCGATCCCTGCAAACTAGTCAGGCCCCCGATCCAGTCTTGACCTGAACTCATCTTGGCCCTGAGAGTTTAAACGTACCTTCCCGAATTTCAGACCTTCAGCGCCCTACAGGTAAGACTGGGCCCGGCCTGGTTTCCCCGATTCAGCCCCAAGCCTATGATGAATTGCTGTAATTTCTGACACCTCGTATGAAAGCTGCACGTGCAGCCTGATTATTTTGCAACACTGAGGCTTAGGGTGCACATCTTTGGTGGGGAAGGTCTGGGATTGAAAACAGGTCTTGCCCAAAATGAGGGAGAGGAGGCCTCTATATTTCGGCGCTGTTTGATTTTCAGGGCCGTCGTGACCCGGCAGCAGACCTTGAACCTGAATTAACCTCAACAAGGAGGCCCAGCCGACAGGAGAACCTGGTGGTAAGGCAGATACTGTGTGTGTCTGAACTGCTTAACAATAAAGCAAAGATAGCGAGTTGATTCTTTTCCTAAAGCGTCATCATTCTCACACTCCCTTGGCATCCCAGAGGGATGGCTCATCTCTGGAGCAATGGTGGAAAAGAGGTAGAGGCATGATATGGAAGTTCCTTGGGACTGCATTCTCCATTTTTGCTTGTAAGGCAAAAAAAAAAAGGTTGTTTTTTTATGCTTTTGCCCCAGGGTGAGTCTTGAGGTCTCCTGTAACAGACACTTGAGTGCTCCTTTCTCTATTGTTGGAAATTGTGAAGTTAAACACTAGCCACTTAAGCTCCCGTGTGCTCTTAAAGAGCGTTGGGGTTGGAAGCAGCCTTGGGTTGGGGGAGGACTGGCATTTCTTTCAATGGATGAGATAGAAAATTTAGAAAACACAATTTTATTCACTAGGACTGAAAACAAAGGCTTGCAATCAAAAGACCAAGTGCAGGGTGGAGCATGCTTGGCAATCAGACTTTGGCTGTAAGTAGGTGGGGCCTGGTCCCCAGGTCAGCAGGCTGCTCTGATAATCCTAGTTTCCTGATATTTGGGTGACTGCCCACTGCCCACGTGCTTTTCCCAGTAGCACACAGATAGCTTCAGGTAATCGTCCAAGGTCACATGAGAAGACTCTGTTTTGTGAACCAGAGCCTTATATCGGTGAGTTGGGAGCAGGTGGCTCTCAGGGCATATAAATGCATGATGTTATTAGTGATGCAGCCTCTGTCCCAGGCATGGGCAGGAGTCCTCTCCCTGCCTGAGCAGTGTCTGCAGGTAAAGACATGGCTTTCCGAAGGGGTACATGTGGTGCCAGCCCAGCCAGTGGCCTAGCCAAAGAGCTGGGCATGCCCAGGAGAGGGCAGCAGAGTGCTGGGCCAAGGTCTGTGCACTTGGTGAGGCATTTCCTCCCATGCAGAAGACCTGTTCAACATACAGGCTTTGAGAGCAAGGTATTAAGGCCACAGCCAGTGAAAGGAGACTGTGGGCCTGCTGCTGCTCCAAAACCTACTTGTGGGACTGAATATCAAGTCTGTTGCTGGGAGGAGTAAAGTTTGGCCTGAGGTCCTAGAAACAGACACCTTAGGGTTGGCCACTGGGTGACAAGGTCAGAAGGGCCTGTAGACTTCTACAGCCTTCCAAGACTGGGATTAAGCTCAGCCAGGTTCAGGGACGACAGCAGGAGTTCCCTTGGCCCTCCCTCTTAACATAATCATGCAGCCGGAAGCGGGGCTCACTGGGAACCTTCATGGAGCGCTGCTTCAACTCCCTATAGAGCAAGGGTGACAAAACAACGTGGCCTCCTATGCCCCCAACAGGAGGGTTTAGACCCTGGGCTTGGTCTTTCTGGTGACCCCCAGGACTTACTTTGCTATGGCTGTGAAGGCCAAGTCCACATTGAGGCCTGTCTTGGCACTGGTCTCCATGAAGGGCAGCCCATATTCCTGCAAACAGCTGCTGCCAGTGGGCTGGTGGCCTGGTATGGATGGCCCAGGTTCCACAGCCTTAGGGGCACCCTCACCACCCACCTTCCCTACCCTAACTCACCTTGGCTAACTTTTCTCCATCTTCCCTCTTCACCACATGCTCGTGGGCAGAGTCCACCTGGCTCAGGCACAGAGGTCTTGATGACAGCTGGCCCATGGCTCACCACCCACCCCCCTCACCTTTACTTTGTGGGGCCAGGCTGGGGAGGGCAAGATAGGCCTCCCACCTTGTTCCCCAGCAGCATGAGCACCGCATTGTGCTGGGCGTACTCCTGGATCTCAGTCAGCCAGGCCTGTAGAGGGAAAGGCTGGTGCTCCCTGCACGCTCTGCCCCGTGCCCCAAGGCCTCTGCCTATCTCCAGAAGTGCCACCCATGGGTCAAGTAGGGGCACCCAACCTTACAGAAAACTTGGCCAAGGAGTCCCTTTAAGAGAGTTGGAATGACCTAGGACCACCTTACCCCCACACTCAACCTGAGCCACCTCCATCCCAAAAGTGACCCTCATGTTTGTGCATAGAGGAGGTTGGGATGGGTTAGGCCCTACCAGGAAGGAGTCCACTAACCTGGATGTTGTCGAAGGAGGACTTGCTGGTGACGTCATAGAGCAGCAGCAGTGCTGAGAGCAGAGGCCAAGTGAGGACGTCCCCTGTTACCTAAGCCCTCTTGCTCAGATAACCCCCCCAAGCAGGGTACCCACAGACCACAGTCTCAACTCCCTGAGAGCTGGGCCATGCATCCATGGGCTTACCATGAGCATCCCGGTAATAGGCATGAGTGACACTGCGGAACCGCTCCTGACCAGCTGTGTCCCAGATCTGCAGCAACAGGCACAGGTCTGGCTGTGCCAAGAACCAACCAACAGCCCCTCCCCAGTGTCCTCTTCCTCCCAACTTGCCCTTCCAATACCTCACCTGCAGCTTCACCTTCACACCATCCACGTCCAGAACTTTGTTCTGAAATAGAACCAGCCAGTTCCAGCAAGGGCCTAGCATGAACCTCTAGCCTGGCACCCAAGAGTAGGAAAGGGAGGAGAGGCAGTGTGGAGCCAGGACTGAGCCTGAGTCCTAAATTCCTGAGCCATTGCTCTCCCCCTATGCATACCACCTGCTTTTGTCCTGACCACCCACCCTCATGCCTGTAGGTCACACACCCGCTAAAGCCCTTCTGGTCGCCCCATACACAGTGGGTGCTCAGGCCCCTATCCCTCAGATGGCTACCCTGATAGTGGACTATGGTCAGCTGTGACCAAGTCTGGGCCAACATTTTCCTCCTCTGTCTACCTGGAGGCTGTCCCTGTCCCTCAGGACCTTTAAATTAAAGCCAAGCCCACTCTATCTCTTGCTCCACCACTGGAGCCCTGCCCCTGGCCACCACTGCTTCCCTGTACCCAGTTTCCAATTCAGCAGCTCCCCTGCACAAAGTGCAGACTTCTGCCTGCCCCTTTCTCCTTGGGATGTGTTCTGTACACACTGCCTGGAGCCACTTGCACTTAATTTGAAGTGTGATCCCACTTCCCGTTTACTAAGGCTGCCTCAGTTTACCCATCTACAAAATGGGGGTGACCAAGGTGCCAGAACTACTTTATGCAAATCACTGACAATTGTCTGGCTAAAAGTGTTCTAATTTAAAAGCTTCTCCTGGATGGGCTGTCAGCTCCACAAGGCCTGAGTATATACCTCTCTGACCCAAGTCAGTAACCAGTGTCCAGAATTGTGTCTGGTAGGCATTTTGTCCTCTTGTGTTTGCTGGCTGGCAATGTTCCCCAGCCAGGCCCTCTCAGCTAAGCACTAGATAGGAGGCAGGGAGACATACACCACCTCCCTCCCTGCAAGTCCTGCTGTCAGTGTGCTTCTGGGTCTCCAGGGAGCCAGGCACAGCCATCTGCTGGGCGGGGGAGGAGGCTGGAGAGGACATCTTGCCTTCCCTGGCACCCTTAGCAGGGTGCAAACTATAAGGCCTCACCTTCTCAGGAGCTAGAGGGGAAGCAAGGACCAGAACAAAGAACCACTGCCCTTTGACCCAAATTGACTGCTGGTACCTCAATCATCACTCATCCCAGAAGACTTAAGGGGGCTTGGGTCCCCTAAACAGGATAGAGAATGGCTCCCCAGACTGGAGGGATCTCCTTTCTGTCCCTGGAATGGGCTCCTTCCCATCTTCCTGCTAACTGTGTCTAATTAAAGGGTGAGAAAAATGCAAATCCAAGATTTGCTAAGAACACACCAACACCTCAGCACGAGGAATTAAGGCTGGTGGGCAGAGGTGTGGGGCTCTGGCATCAGAGCCCTTGCAGGCCCCTGTGTAGGGTGCTGGGGCCATGTTGTTACCCAAGGGCAGGTGCTTAACCAAGGCCAGCCCTGGAAGCCCTTGCCAATAGGTCCTGGGTGAAGTATCTGCTCCAGAACCGCAGCCACCTCTTGTAGGAACTGAGCAGGCCACCTGGCACCTCCCACAACCTTAGGACCTCCTCTGTACAGTGGGACAGCAGTGCTGGCCTCCTGAGTGGACATGGGCCATGAGTTACCTCTGACTGTTACCACCCTGGGGACATCAGCACTCAGTCTTCCCTAAAGCACAGGATGTAGTCTGTCCCCTAAGTAGAGCCAGGAACATAGGAACTATCCCTTGTCAGATGCAGCAAGATAGTGGCTGAGGCACCTCATCTCAATTGCCCTCACCCTGGAATCTGGGTGGCTCAGCTGGGAGCTCCATATCCTGAACCTATTGGTACTACGACTGGGATAGCAAAGAACCAACTTCCCAGGCATCCTGGGAAGATGCATTGAGTTGACGTGGGGTCCAAGGCTGCCTGGGCCTGGCCAGGGCTCGGGACATCAGTCTCCACTCTCACCCGGAAGTCGATGCCCACAGTGGAGATGAAGGTCCCCGCCAGGAAGGCACCATCCTTGAAGCGTACAAGCAGGCAGGTCTTGCCCACTCCCGAGTCCCCAACCAGCATAACCTAGTGCAGGTAAGACAGTCAAGTGTCAGGCCTGAGACAAAAGGAACCATGATACTGGCGCACTAGGAGGGGGCATCTAGCCTGGCCAGAGAAGGGTTGCAACTGGGGCAAGAAAACAAGGACTGCAGGGCCCAGGTGAGAAGCAGCCTGTCTCTACTGGCCTAGATGCCCTGCTTATGCCTTTGGAAGGCTTGGTCCCCTTCTAAGCAGTGGACCATCTCAATCAGTAGGGGGTAAGGACAGCTGCCTCCATCCAGGGCTCTACTACCCTACCCCACCCCACCCCACACCAGGCATGATCGAGAGGGGAGCACTGGGATCTGCTGAGGAGCAGAGCAGATGGGGGTGGCAGCTGGGGCCCTTCTAAGAGACTTGTGCCTCTGTGCTGAGGACTCTAAATCCCAGCAAGGCTTGGGAGGAATTTGCCAAGCCAGGGTCAGATCTTGACCTCAGGAGGGGCCTACGCCAAATCCGTGAAGGGGGAGGTCAATCAGGACCTCTTCCTCTCTCCCTACCCACTGCCAAATGCTCTCAAACCCAAAGATGGTCCTACTGAGCCCCTCTCCCCCAATTTACATACATCTGCCTTGGTCTGGGGAAGGCTACAATGCTCCCCACCCAAATGGCAAACCCCATTCTAGCCTCTTCCTCTCAAAAAAAGAGAAAAAAGACCCACAGACCCTGGGAGTGAGGGAAGGCAGAAAATGAGAAATGAGACTGGGGCCCAGGAGAGAGCTAGGGCATTAGGGCGTGGAGAGGAAGCGCCGGGCGCTGATGTCTGCAGCGCCCTGCCAGCTGGGAAGTAGGGGACAGGCCCTGCCAGCTGTTGAACACCCCAAACCTGGGCTTGACAGCTGTGTGTGTGTGTGCGCACGCTGACTGTGCCAGCCATTCCAGCTACTGTCCGCCGGGGCCCCGCACCACCGTCCTCCCCGACCCTCCCCACCTGGCTCAGACCGCTCTCCACCTGCTGCGCTTGTGGAGGGGGGCGGGGATGACTGGCTCACCTTGAAGGCGACGTCGTATAAGTCGCTGCCGCCTCCGAGCGAAGGCCGGTTGGCCTGCGGGGGCCCATTGGGCGGCGCATCGGGGCCGGGGTGCGCAGTCCTGGGACAAGCCAGCCGGGGCCCGTTGGCTGCGGCCAGAGCGGAGGCAGCGGGCACGCTGGCCCCTTTACTCTTGGGGGTCTTCTTCCTGGACATAGCGGGCTGGCGATCAGAGCGGTCCCACTGCGTCCCGGGCCGTCGCTCTTCCCGCGCACTCGGAGCCGGACCCAGACCCAAACCCTATATCTGGCGGCCGCGGCGGCATCCCGGGCCCGGCCTCCTGCCCCGCCCCCGCCGCTCAGCCTGCCTAGACACCGCTTAGGCCCCGCCTCCCGGCTCCTCCTGCGGAGCGGGGCAACGCAAATTACCGGCCTGCCTGGGCCCAGCGACCAGACTCCCTGGTCGCCTTTGAGCACCCACCGGGGTGCTGGGTGGTGGGCTTGGTGAAGGCTGGATCCCAGGATCCTGGGCCACCGCTGCCAGCCTGGCTCCACTCAGCCTGCGCTGCTCCAACCCAGTACCTCTCAAGGACCACCGGCAGACCCGAGACCAGAGAGAGATCCTGAGATGAGAGTGCTGGGACACAGGGCCTGCAGGGGTGGGCACCCGGAATCTGTCCCTTCTCGCTGAGAGATGCCTGCCACTTGGTCTGCTGCTGCTCCCTGCTGGGTCCCCTCCAGGGCAGGTGGGTCCAGGAAGCTCCAACAGGCTTGAAGTTACAGCCTTGATGAGCAAACAGCTGGTCATCAGAGGCAGGACAGAGTAGGCACAGCTGAATGGGCACAGAAGTGTCTCCCACAGCTTCTGTCCCCTAGGCTGAAGCCTTGGGGTCTAAGAGGGAGAGGAAGCAGGTACCAGAGCCAGTGTCACACCCACTGAAGGTCCCCTCCTGTGGGACTCTGTCCCCAGGGACCTGCAAGGTGGGAGGTTACTCTCTTAGGCTGTAGCTGACCCCTTGGCCTTCCCATTCCAGATTCTGGCCCCAAAGTGGCCAGTGCTGATTCTTCAAACCCTGAGGTGGTCCCTGGGACACCCATCTCCAGGGTCTGATACCTGCCCACAATGGTCTGGGGCTTGAGAATGAGTCTGACATGGTCAGACCTGGGGAGTAGAGGGTAGTGCACCTGAAGTGGAGTGCTGGCTGAGAACCAGAAGAATGGTCTGGCTGTCCCTCAAGATATGACAGCTTGGCTTGGCACCTGTGGCTCAAGTGGCTAAGGCGCCAGCCACATACACCTAAGGTAGCAGGTTCAAATCCAGCCTGGGCCTGCCAAAACAACAATGATGGCTGCAACCAAAAAATAGCCAGGAGTTGTGGCAGGTGCCTGTGGTCCTAGCTACTTGGGAGGCTGAGGCAGGAGACTTACCTGAGCCTAGGAGTTGGAGGTTGCTGTGAGCTGTGATGCCATAGCACTCTACCCAGGGGGACAGCTTGAGGCTCTGTCTCAAAAAAATATATATATATATATATGACAGCTCTCCCCTGGGCCCTTCAGGGGCTAAGTCCTCCCAGTTGGCAGGGCCCAGAGCCCAAATAATCAGCTGCCTCTAAGGCTCAAAGGCCTGAGGAAACACAAATGGAGAAAGTGCCCGGGGAGAGATTCCTTGAGAGGGGCTGGTAGCAATCTGCACAAATGAGGCCACTGAGGGCCGCCCTACTGTGTGCCAAGAACATGTCATCAAAACTCTCCTGTGGGATAGGTGCTGCTATGGTTTTCAGTGCACTAGTGGGAAAACTGAGGCCCAGAAAGGTGAGGGGAGCTGTGCAAAGTCATCAGACTAGGAAGGGGCAGAACCAGGATTTGCCCCTGGGAACTCTAGCTCCAGAGAACATAAACTGTCCAGTGGCAGAGTTGGTGCTATACTCCTCTGATGACTCGACTCATTCCTCAGGGACCTGTCAGAACTGGGGGCAAACCTAGGGAAGCCATTTTAGAGCCTTCCAAACTGCTTTGCCTGGTCTCATTTCCCTGCATCTTCCAGGCCAGTTCCCAAATGTGTGTCTCATGGGTTTGGGGCAGGGTATTGGGCTCCCACTGCTGCAGCCCTGGGGGCCCAAGGTATCCATCCCCACAACCTCAAGACTGTTAGCTCTGGGTCTTAGCTGGGACATTAGCAGCCGCCACCCACTGGCTCCAGGGTCCAGTGGACTCTCCATACTCTCCTGCTAGCTGCTGCCCAGGGTATACCCAGGACATGGAAACTAGAAGGAGTCAGGGTTGGGTGCTCTAGGGTGGAGCTGTAAACCCAGCCTCCTTTGGGGGGGAGTCGTGTTGATAGGCAACCAGAAAAAGTCGGCGGTCAGGCAGGGAAGGGAGTTTGTTTGTTTTTGAGACAGAGTCTCACTGTGTTGCCCTTGGTAGAGTGCCATGGCATCACAACTTACAGCAACCTTAAACTTTCTGGCTTAAGCAATTCTCTTGCCTCATTCTCCCAAGTAGTTGGGACTACAGGTGTCCGCCACAACATTCGGCTATTGTTTTTTGTTGTTGCTGTAGTTGTCATTGTTTAGCAGGCCTGGACCGGGTTTGAACCCACCAGTCCCAGTGTATGTGGCTAATGCCCTAACCACTGAACTACGGGCGCCTAGCGGGGAAGGGAGCTTTGAGTGATAGAGGACACAGATTTGCTCTTGTAACCTTTACAACTGGAACAGTTTACATCAAATCCAGGTCTCTGCTTTCTCTTGAAAGTAGGGAGCCCTGAGTGCCTGCATCTTGGCTTCCAGCAGCTCTCCTCATTTTTGATCATCATATCTCTTGATTCCTCTGTTTGCCATCTGTTTTACCCTCTGGAATGTAAACTCTCTGGGCACAGGAAGCGGCTTGTCTTGGTCACTGCAGTGTCTCCAGCAGCTGGCTCTGGGTCTCAATAAACAGTTATTAAATCGGTGAAAGATGAGTTAGAAACACAGGACTCACTTCAGGAGGACATGTCACGCTAACAAGGCTCTTTTTTTTTTTTTCTTGTGAGACAGAGTCTCAAGCTATTCCCCTGGTAGAGTGCCATGGCATCACAGCTCATAGCAACCCCCAACTCCTGGGCTCAATCGAGTCTCCT